TAAGTCATAAAATGTACGGTTAATGGGGGTATTTAGTAAAAGCAAAAGCGCTAGCGCCAATCATTGCGAGGAGGGTGCTTGAGGGTGGATGATATCTTACAAATTTGGCGCTTGTTAAGCTTCCTTGCTTACTGCCGTGAATTGAATAAATTAATGTATGGGGCTGAAAGAATCTTACCCACTTTCGCATTGCCGGACTCTGTAATTGCTTAAAGTATCCACACCTATCGTGACTTGCTCATATGAGTTCCCAGCTCAAAGTAAATGGCTTTGGTTTGCCAGCAAACTCCGGTTCCCGCCGCCGCCATATTGAAATACGAGAAGACCCTGGGGACGAGTTTACGTGGAGAACAGTTACCCAACAATTCAGTTACCCCTCAACTTCAGGGCGGAAAAACGTAATGAGCATGCGTGAACTTTTTTGCCCAGATTCCCGGTCCGGGTTTGAAAAAATGGCGGGATTTCAAATATTTTATTGCCTAAAAATAAAATGTTTTCACTCATAATCTGGAAAGAACAGGCAATTTGTCTTTAAAAGTTGCAAGCTGTGGTTATAACCTTGTCGTTACTTAATTTTCTCGAAGAATACCTCATAGTAAAACGGACTTTAACGACATTAATTTCCTTGCGTTGTACTGGAAATGTGCATGCGTAGCTCCGATTTTTTTCGAGATGCATTCACAAAAAGTGTTCATATAAGGAAGTTTCTGGATATATAAGCTCCGGAGCTTCACTGTGGACACAAAAACAATATATCTTTGGACAGTGATTTGCCCAAAACAATTAATGCTTGCCCACAATGTGTTTGAAGTCACTGAACTTTGTCGCACTCGAGGTGATATTTTCAATCCCTCTCTCGATCTGACACGCAGTTTCGCAGATCACTAAAACATAAACAAAATCCTCAATGTAGAAGTTATTGAGTTGACATGTGGGCAGAAAAAAGGTCAATCTTTATCTAGAAAAATCTTCCCAAAAATCGATTTCAAAGCAACTACAGTTTTTTAAACTTGCTCGTAGCGCAGATATATAAATTTTGCCTTGTGTTGGCAAGTTGAACACGCATAACATCTGTCAAAAACCTACGCGTCAGTAGGATTTCCTTCAAACAAAGTTAAAGTTACCTTATTTCAAAAACGTCTTGCTGACAATGAAGAAATGAATTTTCTGTGCGAAAACAACCTACCTAAAGATCTTAAGAGCAAAAGATCAGTTGCAACTTGGCAGCCTGCAAGCCATGATTCACCATTTAGCTATTTTCAATAAGCCTACTCAGGGTCCATGCGAAGGTCTTCGTTAAAGCAAATTAAACTCAGCCGATCATTAGAAAAAAGAGAAAATTGCACATAAGGGTTTGTTTTGCTCGCCTCAGTCAAATCAAGCTGCAGCAATTGTTTACGGGAAAAGAGTCAGTTGTTTTGCAGTCACTGCCAGCAGTTGTCGTTCTCTACTTCACAGCGAGTGAAAAGGACAATTTGCGTACAGAAAGTTATTCTTATAAAGAACAGAAACTCTCACAGTGCACTGGAAAACAAAACTGTGTAATGAAAAATGAAAAAAACTCTGACTGTTATTACTTGAGCAACAGAAAAATGATCTTGAGTAAGCTTGCTGGCCTTCTATTTCCGAGAAAGTTTAATAAGCGCACAAGTTTGTTCATTCTGATGCGTTATAACAGCAATATGGTTCTTTGACTGAAGACAAAGATAAAGCTGGTTCTGCAAAGGTAATAAATCTGGGCATGTAAAAAAAGTAACCGTAACTACTAATAACAGAATACAAGCGGGTTTTAATTCAGCCCGGCGAAATCAACTCATAAATTAATCGGATGCACAATCAGAAAAATACTCGCCTCTTAAGAAATGTTCAAAACCTTTTATTCCACCTCAGACTGACGGAATGATCCGTTTTTCCTTTAACATTGGTTGTTCTGAATCCAAAGTAATTTTCAAGCGACGAAAAAAAAAGCAAACATGTCAAATAAAAATGCTTCACAGGGAGCAAACGTTCCCACCTCGTGCATTTCACTCAGAACTCCAGAAACAAACAAACACAGTCAACACACAGAAAAGCCCGCCTTGAGCCTGCGATAAGAGATGCGCAGAAGCTTGCGCAGAACGTTTTTCCGCCCTGAACCCCTCAACCCCCCCTGCACCCCCCGCACCCCCCCCACTCCCCGCTTCCCCTTTTTAGTGGTTTTGTTTACTTGTTATCATTCGTTATGGCTTCAAGAAAAATACATTTTAAGTAGGACAAAAAAGTTTGGATAGTCGAAGTTTTATTTATTTACATATCTCAATCAATGACGTGAATCTCCGCATTCGAAACCGCAGAAAAGCATAAGATAATGGTCACCTAACAGAAAGTCCCTTTTTTAACATTTTTTGCGAGATCGGGGATTTTGAAGTCACTATGCTGAAAATTATAGCCCAAATAAACAGACAGGCTTTAGGTCTTAGTAAGATTCATAGATTTTCTCTATATGGTAAGAATTTTTGACGGTTGTTTGGAACATTCTGCGGGCAACTATGAACACGCGGAGCGAAAGCAAGAACAGTAAACCCATCTTTTTATTGCAGCTGAAGCTGACTTTCCCTTACTCCATTCAACCTGTAAAATTAGGTAACATAATATGCTGGCGATTGCTTATATGCTAAAACTTATAGCTGCATGCCTCCTGTTTTCATTTGTTCTATATAAATTATGAAACCCGCAGTTTTTTAAGACCGTAAACACCATGTTTATTTCTTTCTTTCCTTTTTTATTTTTATTTTTCATCTATCTGTTAATGATTGTATGCATAAATATAACTTTTTATTCAGACAGTTACCTTTTTAAATCTCTTGCTTTGTTTTTCTGCCATAGAGCTGGCTGACCGGATTTGCCGTCAGATGTAGGCGATTTCAACTGGCAAACCTGAAGAAAAATGGAAAAATATGTTACAATGCCGGAACCACATCGAAAAGTGTCTCATGAAGTACACATTTTTATTAGTGTGGTATTCTTGCAAGTTCTTCGGCACCTTATTTAGACACGAGAAGAGATGATGGTGTGAAATTATCAATAGCTGGCATTTACATTTTCGAATCTCCTGTGTTTCTGGTACAGAGTATCATCTCATACTTTGCAATAGAACGAACTGATTAGTTGGATCTTTACCTTTCTTTAGGCTTTAAACGCAAGTAATCCAGCCATCATGAGAAGCCCAGCAAACTACGAAGCCGTTAAGAAATGATTAAATTCAAAAATCATTTGGAGCTTATTTGGAAGTGCGCATGTGTGAATAAAGTTAACTCATTATTCCTTTCTTACAAGAGTCCAGTCAATGAAAATTTATTGTATTGAAAAACACCTACGGGGAATCATTATTTACATATTTCCTCTTTTGATTGGTGTAACGGAATTGCGATCAGTGCACGTGCACATAAGCAACAAAGGGGAAATGGTTCAGTTTAACCCAGAGATAACGATTGTTTTAAATCCTAAGAAGCATCTTACTCTGAACAGGATTTTATGCTTCTGTTTCAATCTTCATTTTTTACCATTATTCCGGACCACTTTTAATCCTTTCCTCCCTGATCTTCACCCTCTCTCACTATCAAAATAGGAAGGAAAGAAAGAAAGAAAACTGAGATTTGTTCGTTCCTTTCATTCGATTCTGAGACTTGTAAGACCTCGATGTTACAATCAAGCCCTTTGTCGTCAAGGGAAAATTAAGGGGTTTTTTTAGGGGGGGAGGGTTCATGCTATCGTCAGTTATAATGCAACCTATTGCACTTTTGACGGCCAACCAAAAATGGGAAATGTCCTTTAAGATAATCGATTCCAGAAAATTTGGGGTGGTGCACCCAATAAAAATGATCGTCGATTCATGTAACGGTCGATATTTACAATTCTCTTGGGGTTTGCTAGTTTTAATCAATTGTTCAGATACATTTTACTGGATTTTTTTTAGCTTACCTCTAATCAGGGTCCTTTATCTGTTCATAGCGGCGCAAAACTCTAAAACGTTAATAATTGCCAAAACCACTTACTACTTATTTGCTGCTTTTTTAATTTCTGGTGACCTTGAATTGGCTGCAGTAGCTCATACAGGCAGCTCCTGCCCTCCCTGACCAGTCTATCAAACATTTACCCTTCATAGCTGACAGGATAGACTGCGAGCAGTCTCTTAGTTTTCTGTTGTGTCACAGTAGATCGAGAGCGGGGGATTATATGTGCGAGCAGGTTTATGGGCTCCTTCTCCGGGATATTGGTGGTGGGGCCCCCACACGATCCGCTCGGGAAAACTCACTTCTTAGCCAGAAAAACCCTAACGTTTGGGGTGACTGTCCCGCAAATCAACTCGCCTCGCCTAGTCCCCAGGCCTCATTATTCTGCGCGGCCTATTCGTTTCGAGGATACGCAAGCGAAATGCATTGACCGAGAAAGCCTGGGAACCCGCCGTACGGGGACTAAGCAAGGCAGAAGCCTATACCAGCCGGAGAAAACAGCCGATATTACTCCATCGAGGCCACCACTGGTTTCCCCCGAAATACCAGTGGTGGCGTCGCGAAATGTCGGGTTGTTTGTTTTTTTTCAGGGTAGTTTTGCAGCATCTAGAAATTTGGTTGCCGACAAGGAAACTGTCACCTAAAAATGAAGCCTTTCCTCATCTTACTGAGTTACGTTTTACCGTTAACCAGGTCTTTTTTCTCTCAGTTTAACACTAAGAAAAGGCACTCATATGTAACGTAATGTAATACTTTAATGTTCTGGTTCTGTGAGTTACAACTCTTACTGGTTGTTTCCTAATGAACGTGACGAAGATCGAGTTCAGATTCCAATATACAGATCGATTTATTACAAAGGAAAGTTTGTTTCACCTGACCAGTAAATACTCTTTTGACAAAGCCGAGGATCTTTAACATAGAATCACCACAAAATTTCAATCTAATTGTCCTTTCCGGATAACAAATAATCCAGAGACACTTTTCAAAATGCACAAAATTAGTTTTAACGTGTTTAAAGAACATTGAGCGGAGACTAGAAATAAGACTCCAAGTTTCCTCGACGTCTCACGTCACAGGTCCAACAGTGAAAACCACCCCCAAGGGAGTTGGCAAAGCGAAGAGAGACTGGAACACAGCTGATGCCAAGGCTTTCAAACATCTATGGAAAAAAGATTTATTCTTTATGTCAAAGTATGCATGGTGCTATATAGATGAGCTTACAACTGAAAGGGATGCAGAACATTTAAGGCTTCGTAGCCTCAAACATATGTATCATATAGACTCAAAACATGACGTGAAATGGATTGGGTACATAAGTGCTAATTATTTTTACTCAGCAGTGGTAAACTGTTTATACATACAAAACGGTGACATTTACAGAATTTTTCTGACTTGGAATTGAGCGCTGATGAGGTTTAAATGATCAGTGTCAGTTTAGGTACGGGCGACGAAGCTTCGAGCGAACGAGATTTTCCTCCCCGGAATTGTCTAAAATTGTAAAATGGCATTCAGCTAAACGGAATGCCAAGGTAGATCGCTTATGCTCGTGGACATAACGTTTCGTGCTCTTCTCAGGGCTTAATAGTCTGATATCAGGATATGGGCTCCTGCTGATATGCAATAGCGTGTGTTTCGTTTTCGATAAATTATGATCATGTATTAAAGCTACAAAATCTGTTTTCAACAACCAAAACAAAAAAGAACTTGGTCAGTTCGTCAAGCAAACCTACCAGAAAAGACTCAAAAGAGACGAAGAAACGAGAGGGAAAAGATTACCGTAGTTGTTCGATTAACCGCCCTGGACGCTTATTAACTTTTTGGACCTTGAGGGTAGGCGCTTATTCGAGGCTGGGCGCTTACTAAAATTTCACCATTTTCACCAAGTGTAGTATGTTTATTTTGCAAAAAAACAATAAATGTTAATAACAAAACGCAAAGATGCAACAAAGCAAGGTTTCCGTAACTACTGTAAAGAAAACTACGTCTTCGGCGAAGTCTGTTATTAGTACTTAATCCATTCTTTTGGCGGGTAGGAGCGAGAAGGGGGTGTGGGGTGAGGGTGGGCGCTTATTTGAGTTTGAGTGGGAGGGGGAGGTGGTGGGGTGGGGGTGGACGCTGATTAACTTTTTCTGCCTTTAGGATGGGGGGCTTATTCGAGGTGGGCGCTAATTCGAGGTTGGGCGCTTATTCGAATAAATACGGTAGTAGCCAACAATACAGAATACTGAAGCTTATGGCGGCACACTACCTTTTGAGTGGTCTTCTCGTTTGTATCAACCACGACTCTCTTTGGATCCAACATAAGGACATTCATGGACAGCCACTTGGACGACATCCACAGTGGGTGGGTGTCCGGTATTAAAGGGGTGGGTGGCTTTATTACTGTCCAACCAGCCTTGTAAAACATGTCGATCTGATGACAAGGCCTGTCAGGATTGGACAGCGCTAATCCGGGTCCGATTATGTTAAACGTTGCGTCGATGTGCATTGGATTTGGATCGTCAAATGACAGCTTGTGAACTCTATATCCTTGTTTACCCAAATGACGTCGCATCCATTCGATACCTAAGTTGTTAGTCACCTGAAATATGAAGGGACAAAAAGAACGATGTTGCGTCTTCTAGTGATATAATGAAGCTCAAAAAAAGACGACGACAGCAACGAGAATAATAGGGAGCTTTAGCAACGACGACGGCGACGGCAACGAGGACGTCAAAAAAGCAATAGGTTTATTACGCAAAACAACAACTTTGCACGTGCATCACGCTTTTTTGTATATTTCTCTACCGTCCTTGCACGACTACGACGTGAAAATGCCTAATTGCAAGTTTTATGGAGGACGTAAACAAGCGACGACGAATCCCTTTTTCTCTCTGTAAACTTGAGTGCGGTGCTCAAGAATTCAACTCCAGGGGCATTCGCCTACACTTTCCATTTTCAGCAAATTAGAATAAACGCGACAAAGATTGAAAAAACGGAAATTCGTTTCAAAACTGACGTTTTCGCGGCCGTTGCCGTAGTCGATGCTAAAACTCCCTAATATCTATGCACGTACTTCGCCCTTTATATACAAATGTTTCTGTCAGTGTGAAGAAAGGGTTTATTGTTATTCAGTTATTTTGCTTTCGCTAATAAAAATATGAAAAACCAATGTAGAAATCATTTATTCTTTAGTCTTAACTTCTTTAAACCGTAAACAACCCGTTGATTTATTGAGCGTAGACTTATTTGTCAAGTCATAATTGTATTTAGTCTTCAAGCTGTAATCAACCTGTAAGAAGCCGTTATCCACCTGTGTAGCTTTTGAAAGTAATTAATGTTTTAAAACAAGCTTAGGTTTCCACCAATAGTCTTTTAGAAATGATTGTTGTGCTCTGTAATTTGGTTGTGATGTAATCTGTGCCACTCGCGATCGGTTCGCTAGCTTAGGCTTAAATACGAGTGCTTCGTAGGGGTTTCTTCGGTTACGTCCTGGTTACGTCTTGGTTACGTCGTCGTTATATCTAGTTTTGGTTACATTTTGGTTGGTTATGTTTTGACTGTACCCACAGTATAGTCTTGGATTAAACTTCTACATTAGAGCAAAGTTCTGTTGTGATCATTGTCTCAAGGGTATTCATCAAGCCTAAGAGATTCCGTAAGAAACCGGTCCACCAAAACAATATCCTTTGTGCCGGTATGTAATTGGTCGCAATTGTTCTACAGTGCAAAGAGATTTCGAGGAAGAAATCTCAGGCAGTGTAAATAGCAAATTTAGTTGTAGCTTCTTATGTTGTTGAAATTCGTAATCAATCAGTCTGATCAGTGGTTGTATGGTGGTTGCAAAGACCTGACCTATTTAACGTTTTGCGCGAATCCGCCAATGCGATGTCTGTTAATCAGCAACTTACGCGCGTAGTCAATGGAAAAGTTACGTATCTTGTCAAAACAACGGATCTTTTTAGTACAAAAGTTAAACAATTAATTGGATCAATGCGGGATATGGACCGTTCTTTTACCACCTGGAACCGACACATCCGAACACAGTTAAAAAAGGAACAATGTCATTACCAAGCGAATATGGAATTTTTGTCACTCTATTCTCTTCAGGTGAACCGCGCCACGAGTGCCATGCTACGCTTAAATGAAAATGAAGATATTTTGCGCCAGCTGTCACACCTTACCCGCAAGACTCTAATTAGTTTTGCCTACTTACCGCGTTTTCTTACAATGGAGCTTAACGTACGCTTAGTTCGCTTAGCTGCGATACCAGCACTAGCTCATACTTTGGACGCCCTCAAGTCAGGATTTGCAACCATCATACAACCACTGGTTGATTACGAATTTCAACAACATAAGAAGCTACAACTAAATTTGCTATTTACACTGCCTTAGATTTCTTCTTCGAAATCTCTTTGCACTGTAGAACAATTGCGACCAATTACATACCACCACAAAGGACATTGTTTTGGTGGACCGGTTTCTTTTGACGATTTACTATTGCTGACATGTGATACCCAAACCTTTCTTCTTAAAGCACCGGAATTAGAAAAGTGTTACCAGGACGATACTACAAATTTACGTCAGGAGAATATTCTTCACACAGTTCAACAACCGACGTGGCTTGGCTTACCCTGGACGCCAAATTCTAAAGTATCGTTTCGCCGATTTCACAAACTTCGTTCGCATTGTCGTCATACCCCGCTAATGCTGTTACTTGGGGACGTTATTTTTTAAGCACTGGTTTCCACAACCTCACCTTGTGTTCGCTGGGTTACACACAACACTTATCATTGTCTCCCTTATCAATTATTCGCGTCCCCCCTAACACATCCTTTCAATATCAAAGAGGGGCTTTGGAAACTTGTCCATCCACCTTGCGGCATTCAATTCAACAAGTATTACCATTTTGTACAGGTGTTACCGATTAAAATAACAATAATAAACAGCTAAGTTTAATGAAATGCAGATATGATGGAACGTTAGAATTAACTATGTTTCTTTCGTCTTTCAAATTCCAGTTCAATTTCAATTCCAGTTTTCCAAAATAATCACTTTACTTATGTTCCTTGGCTTAGTACACCTGCCTCTAATCTTAACATTTCCGCCCCTAATTTTCCGGTTCCCTCTGACTTTACGTTAGACAACACTACTCTCATTTACTTGGATCACACCTACAATCTTCTCGATCACTCACTCACTCTGCGTCTCACAAAACTCAGAGAAGACATTTCTCACTTACAAACAGCCTCCACAACCACCGTGAACGATATATTCACTTATCTAACATTTGCTTTAACAATACTCAATTGCTTTGTTTTGCTCATTTTCGTTCGTCGTCTTCGGCAACCATTACAGATACCTACCATTTCTCTCTCTACACGTGATACTTCAAAAGACGGCTAACTTCTTTATCTTTCTTTCTTTTTTTTTTTTTTTTATCATTCCGATGTACAGCTTTAGCCCTTGCCAACCCCGGTATTTACACCTATCTTATTTTGTGATGCTCTTTCTTTTTGCCGCCTTCTTTGGTTTTCTTTGTCCTTTGTTTCTTTGTCCTTCCTAGTTTGACCACATGTCATCCACTATATATTCCACCGTTATTCGTTGTTCTTTCACCCTTCTCTACGGAGTTCATTCACGCTTTTCACTGTTTTCTGTCTATTTCACATCCAAACGCTTTTATCATGCCTCGTTCGTTCGCCAAGACACCACTAACAATCAGCCTTACAAGTGGCCGAGGACGCCTTGCGGAAGTTAAGACCACTAGAAGGAGTATCAAGGAGCTGCCCGCCATCAGCGCTTTCATCCAAGCTCGGATACGGTCTCCCCTGACCAAGTGCAAAAAATATAGGGGCTGTGCACGTCGCTCCCATCCCCGCACGTACCTCTGCTATGACAGCAAGAGTCTTCACTTGCCCGAGTGCCGGGAAATTATGGTTGCCTTACTCGATGACACTCTATTAGACTACCGGACGACCTACCCTTTCTTGCTGGTTGTCGACGTGGCGCTCTACCTCTTACTGGAAAAGGACTATTTCGAACGGCAGATTGCCACCTATGCTCTCCCGACCTTACAAGAATCATACTTTTCCACGGACTTTCTCTTAGTAATCTACGACCTTTTAACCAACAACCACGAGGACTTTGCGCATTATTTGTACCTACAATATTGTTCCCGTGTGCCCAAGATTGTGACCACGGCGCACAATCTGTATCCTTCTCTCTTTCACGGAACTGGGTTCTTCTGGGGAGAACCGTGGCATTCTCTGTAATTTTAAGCGTTGCAATTATTTATATTAATTTTCTGTTCTTGACATTTTCCTCGAATTATTTACTCTATGTTCTTAGATTATTTACTTGATTCGACTTTCGCTTTTTCAACTTACATGTCTTTCTTGCTTTTCATTGAACCCCCGAGGCCACTATATTTCGGCTAGTTCGGTAAATGCCGCGGTTCAGGCACAAAAATAAATACAAAATTTCCAAAAACCCGGAAAATCGAATATAAAATTTCAACATAAACGTAAGTTTTAATATTTCAATTCGCTGTGCATGTTCTTAGTTTTTCTCGTATATTTTTGATTGTTCTCCTGTTCCTCTAATCAGCTGAGGACAGCTGAGGATTTATTGTTATTCAGTTATTTTGCTTTCGCTAATAAAAATATGAAAAACCAATGTAGAAATCATTTATTCTTTTTAGTCTTAACTTCTTTAAGCCGTAAACAACCCTTTGACTTATTGAGCGTAAACTTATTTGTCAAGTCATAATTGTATTTAGTCTTCAAGCTGTAATCAACCTGTAAGAAGCCGTTATCCACCTGTGTAGCTTTTGAAAGTAATTAATGTCTTAAAACAAGCTTGTAGGTTTCCACCAATAGTCTTAGAAATGATTGTTGTGCTCTGTAATTTGACTCGTTGAGTTGTGATGTAATCTGTATCGATCGGTTCGCTAGCTCAGGATTAAATACGAGTGCTTTTGTAGGAGCTTCTTCGGTTACGTCCTGGTTACGTCGTCGTTACATCTAGTCTTGGTTACATTTTGGTTGGTTATGTTTTGACTGTACCCACAGTATAGTCTTGGATTAAGCTTCTACATTGGAGCCAACTTCTGTTGTGATCATTGTCTCAAGGGTATTCAGCAGGCCTAAGAGATCCCGTGCCTTCCCGCAGCCAGCGAGTGTCCCCAGAAAAAGGCCTTTCCTAGAGAGTTTTAGAGTTTTTCCCCGTCCGTTAGTTTACCCTTTTGTGAAGGCAAAACCTGTTTTCACATCAGTATCCACTCAAGACTGTGACGTGAAATCCTATAATGCAACTTTTCATCTGTTTTATGGACGACGTAAAAACACAACCTCGATTTTTTTTTTCGGTCTTTCTAAACTTAAGTGCGGTCCCCATGAATTAAACTCAAAACAACATCGCTTTCTTTTAACTTAACAGGCAGGTAAATCGGAAACTGAGCAGCAATGAAGCTCAGGGAGTGAACGAAAATTAACTTTTTAAAAAGTTAGATTTTCTCTGCCGTTGTTATCTTCGTTGCTTAAGCCGCTCTACAAAAGTGTTAAGGAATCATCATTTCCTGAATCAAGGTCGTTTGGCTCAGTAACGGCCACTCATTATAGAGCGTTTTCACCTACGTGACAAGTTGGAACAAAAGAAAGTTGTTGCATGGAAAAGAGTTTAAATGCCACAGCACTGGATTGGTACACCAATATGGCCGCGGGCAAGTTTCACTACCGTAAAATTCCGAAAGTAAGCCCCTCCAAATATAAGCCCCCCAAACTGGTAACGCAAAAAACCCTCCGTTAAATCGCCCCTCCAAATATAAGCCCCAAGGGGGGCTTGTACTTGGAAATTGCCCTCAGATACAAAGTAAAACAAAGCAAAAACGATAAAATTCCCTCCAACTATAAGGCTAGCCCAATCAATTTTGAAACGCAAATTTCCCTCCATAGATAAGGCCCTCCGAATATAAGCCCCTCCAAAAATAAGTCCCTCAAAAAGGGCCTTTGAAAAATATAGGCCCCAGGGCTTATTTTCGGAATTTTACGGTATTTTGGAAAAGCAATGTAGTCGACGTGAAATCCCATAAAAAACGCTCAATACTAAGTCCTGTTCCACAGGACCTTCGTTCAATAACCGTTCAATGCATTTCAATGGCATTATCTGCGTATGGCTATAATTATATATTGAGCCAAAAATATTGCATGGTACGAGAGTAGCACAGCCAGTTTAAATTTTTTATACCTGACTTCTTTGGACGAAAATATCCCGCCCTGCTCGAATGAAGTCCGCAGCATCAAAACACGGTTCAAACTCAGTGGTAACAAACTTTCCTTCGGCTGCCAGCTGATGCCTGTCCTCAACTGTCTGTATCGGGTAATCCTGAGGACATAAATGTAAAAGATAAAAAATTAACTTATATTTTATAACGTATTTGGTAACTTAAGTTGGCAACAAAATTTTTAAAAAACCGAGTCAAATGGCCCAGACATCTTTCAGAAAATAAAACTGCCCCCACCCCCCATTTCAAGTTAGCTTCTTTGATGTTTTTTTCCTGCACCTTGAACAGCGCCGCCACATTGTTTGGAAGGGATTGGTGGAAGGAAACTTGCTTATTCCCTTTTGAAGTTAGAGAATTCTTGTATAGGATCTGTATAATTGTATGATCATGATAATAGAAGATCAGAAAATAAGAAAATAATATCATCCTAAAAAGATTGATAAAATACCTATGTCTTAAGAAAAGAAAATTAATGGTCAAACGTTCTCAGCCTCCACCTGATCCTCATGCAGTCATCAAAGAGTAAGGCTCTTTGTTAAAGGTAAAATGTGGTTATGGAACGATCGAGCTCTAAATCCTTTCTGAGCCCTAATAAACAGCGACCTGGATAGGTTCCTTGTAACCATGAAGGTGTTAAAATTCAAGATGATTACCTGATCATACAGGTCGTCACTCATAAGTGGCTTAGGCGCAGTAGTCCATTTGGCACCTCGTTTAAAGTACTCCTTGAGAAGGGGCCTGTAAGCGCGGTATTCAAAGAACCGTGATCGCCAGGCCATGGGGGCCTCGATGATCTCATCGCCCACAACAATCAGAATGTCTCGTGGCATAGCTGCGTACATTCCAGAAGACGTAAAATCTGGAGTCGTGTAAACCTACCAAGAATGGAGGAGACGATGCAAAAAAAATCGTTAGCCAAAATATCCATTGGAGGGTGCATCGAAGAAGAATGGGTGATTTGTTTCATGCGAGGTACAATCTGTGGAGCCTCTCTCGTGTTTATACAGTATATGTTATTTGTCATTCATTTAAAACATTTCTCCGTTTCTGATTGGCTAAAATCATTTACAAAAAGCACGAGAACGAGAGAAAGACGCAGTATGCGGAACTGAGTAATGAAGATCGAACAGGAAATGTTCACTCCCCTAGTTTTCACGACCACAGGCGGAATGGCGGATGAATGTGTTAAATACCACAGCAGACTTGCGGAGCTGATAGCAAATAACAAGGGAGAAAGTTACTCAAGCCGCAATTTTCCTGGATAAGAGCGAAAGTGCATGTCTTTCGCCATCCCACGCTCTGCGATACTATGCTTCAGAGGCTCAGAAGACGACAGCTAGACTTTGTTGACTCAGATTTACAAATCGAAAACATTAGAGCCTGCATGAATTAATCTTTTTCTTAGAAACATTTGAAAGAATTAGGAGTTTAGGAATACGAGATTTTATTCTTTTTAACTTGTTTCTTTTTAATATCAGAGACGGATAATTTTCTTTTGTCAGGCGGCCTCATTCAATAATTGTTTGTTATATAAGTTTTTGGGCGTAAATTCGCGACTATGAACAAGTAAAAAGATCACAAGCTACTCAAATGTCTATCTGTGATTTTCAGTGTTTATTCGCTAGTATGCTTTTCATGTGTAGTTCCAAAACTTTTCAAATAAATCATTGTAGTTAAAAAATATAAATTCTGGGCTTCCCAGTAGTTTTACCTTTGAGAAGTCGATTGCTTCAGGACGCCGCACAACGACCCCTTCGTGCCGTAAAATCTTACAAAATTCCTCCACTTCGGCATGTGCTTTCCTAAGATGTTCTTCAGGGAACGATCGACCTCCAAACCGACGGAAGAATGGCCAGTTCTTCTCATAAGTGTTTGCTTTCACTTCAGCAGAGAACTCAGGTACGGTAGCTCCTGAGACAAAATCAGTATTTTAAATTACACAGATGTAAGCTTGGGGAGCTGAGAGTAATTTAGGCAGAGTCATGAAGAATCCAACAGCTGAACTTCGGTCAAAACCCTTTATCGTGATTTTATAATTTTTCTATTAAAAGGAATTGTAACCCACTCTAATTTTATTGTACAAAGATATATACAAATACGTGCTTAACTCTTGTAGTGACTGAGGGTGATAGTGTACTGTATTTTTAAAGTAAGGGTTTTTGTGTTTGCGAAATGAGAGTTACGTTTCGTATGTATATGCACACTTGCAAACAAGCATCAGACCGTCTTCCGATATTACAAATGTCTATCAAACTGCGTTTGCTCTCCCACCCCGTTGATTCTGTACTGCTTGAAACGGCTGTCTGACTCTCAGTATCAACCCGTATTCTTTCCTACTCGTTCTTGATTCAAAATGCATGCATGCATATAGTGTCCGCACCCTAAAATCATGTCTGTCATTTTTATTTCGGAGAAAGTAAACGAAAACTATGGACTTAAACCCAGTTTAATAGAGCGTCACATAACTCATGAAAAGGAAATTTGAAAACCTAGTATAACTAACTTTTTGTTATCTTGAAAAGAAAATTTTCATTCTTTCCACTTTTTAAAAATATCAAACTCGAGGTAAAAATTAAAGGAAACTCAGATTGTCACACAAACTCTATTCCAGTCTTTTGGGGACAAAATGTCACCTCCTTTTAAAAAAAGCAGAGTATGAATGCATTGCAGTTCAATGATTAATGTATTTTACTGCACCTTCAACGCGTCCAACAATGACTTCCTCGAGAGGATCCCATTCATTATATGAACACACTGGGCTCTTTAACTCATCTGTTTCGCCTTGATCCAAGTCATTGGGAAAATCCTGCTTGGTTTTAGCCGAATAAGTCTTCACTTGAGTACCAGCAGAAGCGCTTGCTCTACTCCTTGCTACAAGTGTTGAACATGCCCGCCATAACTGCAAAATCAAACAAATAAAACAAACACGCAAAAAGAGTTAAGCTTGAGCACATAACCTCTATTCAGTTCAAGTACTACATCTCTTTTTTTAGAGACCGGGCAATAAAGCTTGTAAGCAATTCCTCGGAATGGTCAATGACTTCATGCATGCTCAGTTTCCTGTTGAGTTGTTAGTGTTTGCAGTCACTAGTAAATTTCTTTAACCCAAGATTTCTCATTGTTTTAAGCTTGCAATCGTCCGTGCAATCACTTGTGCTGAAATGTATGCTGATTTCTTCATGGAGGAAAACATTAGCTTTGAAACCTACCGATCCAAATTTCGCTGCTTCGCGTCCACGGCAACCACCCTTGATTATTCTCACGTTTAGCATATTGAAATTTACTAAAGCTGAAAGAAAAAAAATACTTTTAGCCATACTCATAAAGTCGAAGAGAAAAACTGCCATAAGTCTTAACTTCCCCTTCAAATTATTCGTACTTTTTCATTCAGATATGTTTAAAAAGAAACCAAAACAGAAATCGTCGAACTTTTCTCCCAACTTTTCTTCCAACGCGAAACTGCCAAGCTTCAAAACGCGTGTTTGTTGTTCAGAAAACGTCAGCGCAAAATTGATCCCTATTGGCTGCTATTTATAACAAGTCTGGCAAATCTATAAAGAATTAAATGACGTCACACGAAGAGGACAGAAAATAACAAAACATAGGGCTCTCAAGACACTTTCAACGTAGCAAGGAAAAAAAACAAGGTCTAGTTGAAAACGCGTACTGTCCTATTAAACTGTCCTATTAAGGCTGAAATAGTTGAGAACCAATCAGATTTGAGAATTTTGTTATAGTTATGATTAAGAATTTTCACACGAAGAGGACACATGCTTTTTGTGTAAACCTTTTATTCTTAATTACTACATTTGATTATACGCTATGAATATTTGTATAAATATCGACGTAGAAGCGTTTTTTGGCTATCTCGCCTTTTGGACAGCCGCATGTCTTGTCGGTGAACAAACTTATTATTAGTTCCTAAGTTAGTCTAAAGCTCTAATCCTCGGAGCTCGATACACTGCATTCGATCGAGGAGTACGTTCCCGGTTTTTTTTGTCCCAATGGGTTTTTTATTCCGGGTTTTCGTACCGGGTAGTGTATCATTCCTTTGATTCTAGTTTCTGTCGCGTTCCATATTATTTAAAATGTTCGTTTACACAAAGGATCGGCAATCGGAAACCACCTCAGAGAGCAGCATGATATGGAGCCTGAAGACATCGCACAAATTAAGTTTTAGAATCTTAAGAAAGTGTCAGAACAAATTTGACTGCCTTATTTTTGAAATGTTTTTTATCCAAGAACTGAAACCGACGCTTAACAAACAGTGCGATTCAATTCACGCCAAATTATTTGTTTACAGTAGTTCTTGTTAAAATTGTTTTATTTCCATTGTTTTTTGACTTTATAAATATTTTTAGCACTTTTTACATTTTTACATATTTTATCACATTTTAGCGTTCACCACATTTTTATCTATTATAACTTGTTTTTAACTTATTTATGCTAATTTAGAGAACTTTTATACACTTGAAAATGACCTCGGAGAGGTCGAAACGTCGTGATTTTTTATCGCTAATACTTATCTCAAAATCGATTTCTAAGAAACTACTTATTAATATGTAGAAATTATATTATTTCTGTAATTTTTTTATATTACTTTTAAGATCATTTGTATTGTTGCACAGTATTGCTAAGACATCTTGTCAATAAGGCACTCGCTGGTCGCGCTTTGCGCGCTGTGCGGAGGGTAGTAATGAATTAGTGTGATCAGTGGAGACAGTGGGGGGATGCATACATTTTCATAGTTAATTTTGGCATCGTGAAGACTTGGTTTTTGCTCTTCTCGGTGGGTGAGGCAAACACTCAGAACACTACACTCGCCTGACTCGCATATTATGCTATATGTTTGGGAAATCTGATGCGCACAAGCGCGGCAGGAATGCCTAACTCTAAATCTAAATTCAATTCTGTGCAAATCTCCCACATGGGCTCAAGGTACGGTCAGCGATTATTTAGTCATAGTAATATGGCTGACTGATTAAATCGTTAATGTCTTGGTCTCGCATAAGGGAAGACTTAAAGATCCGTGCAACTTACAAATCAAAGAGGCAAGAAAGTCTTAAAATAATGGAAACAATAACGCACATTTACTTCACAGGTACCTAAATAATATTTTATAATCAGTTGAGAACGTACCGTTCGTGATTCTTACAACTTATCGTTGACCCAAATTTCAGTCGACAACCACCTCATTCTCTCTTGGTCGAAACCTTATACCAATTTTTTTTAGACAGTAAACCAATCTTGCCAGCTATTAATTGTATGAGTGACTGAATACCATTTATTTTTCAGTCACGTCTTGCAACCTACCCTGCGAGCAGTGGTTTCTCCAGGCCGGACGCTACGCTACGAACTTCAAGGATGAGAAACACTGCTTCCGGCCTGGAGAAACCACTGCTCGCAGGGTACTTGCAACCTGTCTTTCCCTCTTTTTTTACCGTTTTAGTTCAGTGGTCAACAACCCAATTATAGGAAATGTTTTTTTTTTCGTATGCTAATTTCCAACGTTCACAAAAGCGTCTTTGTTATCAACTCCATCGAAGTCGTCTGCCTCTCGTTTATTTAAAAACATTACTGAACGATTAAGCCAATCTGAAAAAAGGGATGTTTGATCACCTCCGACAGATTTATATTCTGCCTCATCCTTGAATTGACTCTTTAATTGTAAATAGGTGTTCATTACGATGGTTTTTCTTTACAATTATTGGTTAACGCATGACAATAGACAGATCATAGACAGATCATATAAGTGATCAAGGACCTATGCTGTGGACAAACCTAAATGTTCAATACAAGAAGATCAGAAACTCTGAACATTTTCAAAAACCGCATGAGAATGACAAATTTGAGCTTTCAGCGACAATTGTCAAACCGACTGTTTTTTTCTACGTAGTAATTAAACGTCTTCATTAGCACGTACACTAAACGATCTTCCGATACTGGTAATACAGGGGATTTTAAGGTTTTGCATTCTGATAGATTACTTCCCCGGGATTACTTCGAGCTAGTATGTTCTTGACCAGCCAAAAAGTAATCTCTCCGGCCTCGCGTAATAGAATCACTACAAAGTGTACAATATCAATCAAATAGTTCCTGCCCTTTCTGTTGTGTGTCCCTTCGTCATAACCAAGATTTAACTGAGCCAGAGCAATGTCAAGAGCTTAAGAGAGGAATCCGATTTGCAATTGTTAAAATTACAACCCCTTACTTCAGCTGTGACTTGTTCCTTCAGGTAGATTTCAAGTGAAATTTGAAGAGAAGTACGGTAATTTTTCGGTTGGTTTTTGTAAGACAATTGACTGGCAAAACGTGACAAAGTCAGTCCTTTGTACTATGATCGTTTCTCTTTCATGCGTCAATTCGTCTGTGATCAAACACAACGTAACTACAAAGAATCTCGATTCAGTGCATCTGTCATAAGCAGTTAATTCTTCACAAAACTGAAACATTTTCTGTTTTGTTGTCATCAATGCATCTTAAACCATTGCTTCGATACCGAACTTTCGGGAGATCATATCGGCATTTTGCAGTCGCGGCCGTAGAAGAGATCTTTCCCGTAGCTTGCGGTAGCATGGCGGTTTTCGTCGGGCGTGCAAGCAAGCCAAGGTGGGCGAGCTAGAGCAGTGAAGCTGCGAGGAGATTGGCTTCGCCGCTCGTTCGCGAGCTTTGTGTGTACTTTTGCGGCTTCTCCGCTCCGTAGTGCGCGCGGCAAAACCGCCATGCTACGCAGGCTACCTTTCCCATATTATGGATCAATACCAGTCTTGGATTAAAGATTCTCACGCTACTGAGTCTTTGGTAAAGTTGCTATGAACCAAGTAAAAAACGAATTTTGCTAATGAGAACTAGACCAAGATCAATATCTTGGAAAGGAAGGTATGACTACTAAGCCAATTATCCCTGCAAGAATAGAGTGTTTTCGAGTTTAAATTCAAATAGCTAACCGAAAGGAAATCAGTAATACAAGTGCATTTACTAAAAATAAAAAGGTTGATAAAATATGCTAAAAATTTGAGAAAAGAACCAAACGCTCCACATACTTCAATGCTGTCCCTTACTTCATTTCTTAGAAGCATAGACAACCAAACTTAACAGCAGGAGCAAGATATAAGTATATAAGAGTATTTAGGAGAGGGGTATTTTAGAAATTAACTTTAAAAAATGGCCTCTAGGCAGCCGGTTCTTAATTTCATGACAAGTAAAAAACAAATACCTGAAAAGTTGAGCTACTGCTGAGGCCCGATTACGATAACCTACAGGTGTAATATATCTATTTCAATATCACAAGGTCGGGTAGTGGGTAACTGATGATATGATAGGGGTAAACGAACCTTAAAATAAACCTTTAATCATTGGGGCATAAAAAATATACCAGCAACCAGATTCAAAAAAGGGCTATTCTTGCATTTCTTCCTGTGACGTTTTGCGGTCTCTCCACTGCTTCCCATCCCTCCCCATTTCCGTTTTACCCCGGTTGTAAAAAAAGCCGATGATGCCATTCTAAAACCGAATATTCAAATGCATAAGCCAAAGTGAATAACCACTAGAAATAAAGCATCAGTCTTCCTCGTTACAAAATCCTCCAAGGCAACAGTCCCACCCATAAGTCATATACGCTCCTTAAGTTTGTACACTGCAAATTAAAGGTTTATGGGTGTTTATCAAGGTTTTCTTTGGTATAAAAACACTTTATTTTAATCAGAGGAATCTTAGCCTGCGGACTTTTTAATTAGACGTATTTCTGGTCCTCGTTACAACATCCGCCTACCTGATGGGTAGTTTTTTTGTAGAAAATATCAGAGCTTTTATTCAAGCTTGATGTATTATGTATCGTTAATGTTGCCAGATATTTCAAGCAACAAGTACTATTAAATGCTCTGTCACCGTGGACGATGAATCAATTCAAACAACTGAATGTGAAATACCATGGTAAACTCTTTTTACAATGCTACTTGGCTAGACCCAATGCCAACGTCTTTGTTATTATAGCTGCACTGAAGCGTTTCATCCAGTTCTCTCGAAAACTAAAACTTAATTTAATCTCAGTCCCTTGAGTCACGTACGTTTACACAAAACTGGAAAGGTCATTCGTGCGTGTGGACATCAAAGAAATGCACCGAAAAGTGTGATGCACGTGCCGAGCTGTTGTTTTTGCTTCATAAAAATCATTACTTTTCATGTCGACATGAGAAATTACTCCTATCTAGTATGACCAGAGACGGCACAGAGCTGAAAAAAGTCGCTCACACTGAAGTGGTTGACCGAGAGT